AGTGGAACAAATTAAAGTTCCAAGATTATAAAAGTGTTGTTGCATATAACTCTGTCATACACCAAATTATAGCACAATTAGAATTTTGTGGCATAATTATTGCCGAAGAAGAAAAGTTGGAAAAACATTTCCAACTTTTCATGCATCCCAAGTATTATAGAAATAACAATATAGAATTAGAGAATTTTCTGAGTATTCTGATTTTGTTGCAGCCCTTCTAGTAGCTGAACAAAATAGCGAGCTCCTTATAAAAACCATCAGTCGCGTCTCATAGGAACAATAACATATCCTGAAATGAATATCACAATATTTAATCAAAGGCATGGCGACTATAATCATATTAAAAGACTTGGTGGTTATGCTCGATCTAAGGGTCCTGGCCGAGGTGGATATCACAGTTGAAATCACTTTCATGGTCGAGGTTATCTGAATAATTATAAGTTTCCCATATATTACCAAACTAATAGAAATAGTAAAGGTAGGAGTAACTATATTCAAGAGGGTCCCTCGATGATCATGATGATTTCTGCTATAAATGTGGAAAGAAAGGCCATTGGTCTAAAAAATCTAGATCACCAAAACATTTTTGTAAAAGAAACATGACATATGTAGAGGAAAAAAGGGAAAGGAAGTAAACTTTAATGAAATTAAACCCGAAAAAAAATACTACCTATCTTAAGGTGATGATTTTGTTGAAGGAACAATGAATTAAACAACTATTTGAATAACTTGTGATGTTCTTGTGTTAATTTTATATTTGAACTGTGTACCAACTTAAAAATTTATATGTTGTTTGGTGTATCTAATGTTTTCATGAAATAATAATGTTAAATATGTTGTGCTGATTTACTCTCTATTTAATCTTATTTATATTTTAAGAAGGTTAGACATGAAACATGTCAAAGATATTTACATTCTAGATAGTGGAGTTACCCACACGAGTCTCAAAAGTAAGAAATATTTTACTAAAATTAATCCCACTAAAGGTTCAATAAATATAATATCAGTCATGCGGTTTTGATTGAAAGAACAAGTAATGCTATGCTCATATTACCAAATGGGACATAATATGTCGTTAATAATGCTTTATACTCTCCAAAATAAAATATAAATTTGTTGAGCTTTAATGACATATATCGTCAAGAATATGATATTGAAACTGCAACCGAAGGTAATATGAAATATATTAATATTACTACTAATCTTTTAGGAAAAAATAAAACTTTATAAAAACTTCCAAAATTGCCTTTTGGAATGCATTATACATATATACATGAAATTGAATGCGATTTAGTAGTAAAAGAAGATCCAAAAACCGTGACTTTATGGCATGATCATTTAGGTCACCATGATTTAACAACGATGCATAAAATAGTTGAAAGTATCCATGGTCATCCATTGAATGGTTTAACACATAGAAAGGAAGATATAACATGTGAAACTTTTTCTCTTGGAAAACCAATAACAAAGTATTCTCCAAGCAAGATTAAGACATAATCACCTATATTTTTTGAAAGATTTAAGGTGATATATGTGGATATATCCATCCACCGCCAGGACCATTCATCTATTTTATGGTATTAACAGATGCGTCTAGTAGATGGTCATATGAATGCTCACTGTCAAGTCGTGATATGACATTTGCAAAATATATTGCATAAATAATTAAATTAAGGACTCAATTCCTAGATTATACTATGAAGAAAACTATACTTGAAAATGCCGGTGAATTTACATCTGAATGAATCATTTAATAACTATTGTATGTCAATTAGAATTACTGTTAAGCATCATGTTCCTCATGTACAAACACAAAACAGTTTAGTTGAGTCATTAATCAAATGTCTTCAATATATTGCTAGACCATTAATAATGAGAACTGAACTACTAGTTACAATTTTGAGTCATGCAATTTTACATGCTACAACAATCATCTGACTAAGGTCAAGTGCTGATCATAAACATGCCCTTTATCAACTTGCAGTTGACAATGAACCAAATATTTCTAATTTAAAGATATTTGGTTGTGCAGTATATGTCCCGATATTTCCACCATAAATATAAAGATGAGACCTAAAAGGAGGTTGAGAATATATGTGAGGTATGAATCACATTTTATTATTATATATCTTGAACCTTTAACATGTAATAATTTTTAGACAAGATTTGCTGATTGTAATTTTGACGAAACGAAATTTCCAACATTAAAGGGAGAAAATAAAAAACTAGAAAATGAAATAACATGATATGCATCCTATTTATTATATTTGAACCCATATAGTAAATCATGGGAAGAAAACGTAAAGAAAATAGTGCACTTAATATATTTAGAAAATCAATTGTCAGATTCATTTACTGATTTGAAAAGAGTGACAAAGTAACATGTACCAGCTATAAATGTTTCAACTCTGATAGAGATTTTGAATCTAAATGATGTAGCAAGTACATCTAAGACACACTTGAAGCATGTCCGACCTATGGGATCCAAAGACAAAAATCCCCCCAAAAGAAAAGGAATAGAAAAGGTGAATATGATAGAAAGTGATAAAGACACTAAATAATAATAAATCCACGATTGAAAAATATGCCCTCGAAGAAGCACAAGAAGATGGTAATGAGATCATTGATAACAAAACTGAAAACAAGAATGATCTCAAAATTTCAATTAATTATGCTAATACGGGAACTTTGTGGAACTAAACAGGTATGAATATAGATGAAATATTTGCATTCTCCGTTGCATGTGAAATTATGAATGAAAATGATGATCCCGAACCAAGAACTATAAATGAATGTCAAAATAGACATGATCGGAAAAATTGGAAGAATACAATAGATACTGAGTTAAATTCTCTTAAAAATCGAAAAGTATTTGGCCTTATTGTGGCTCTAACGAAAGATGTGAAACCAGTTGTGGGTCTTTGTAAGAAAACGAAATGAGAAAAATGAGATTGTAAAATACAAAGCTCATTTGTTGCACAAGGTTTTTACCAAAGATCAAGAATTGATTATGAGATAACATATTTATCTGTTATGGATGCCATTACTTTTCGTTATTTAATTGGTTTATCAGTATTTAAGTTTTTTGATATGTATCTTATGGATATTATTACTATTTATTTTTATGGATCACTTGATATTGATATATACATGAAAATCCCAAAAGGATATAAAATGCTCGAGACATCAAAATCTAGAGAAATGTGTGCAATTAAGTTGTAAAGATCATTGCATGGGTTAAAATAATTCTGACGCATTTGGTATAATAGGCTAAGTGAATATTTGTTTAAAGAATGCCAAGAGAATAAACCTATTTTCCATTGTGTTTTTATAAGAAAAATAATATCTGATTTTGCAATAATTGTTGTCTATGTTGAAGATTTAAATATCATTGAAACTAATAGAGAAATTAAGGAAACAAGATATTACTTAAAGAAATAATTAAAAATGAAAGATTTGGGAAAAAACAGGTTCTGCCTTGGTTTGCAAATTAAGTATAATAAAAATGGTATATTGATACATCAACCAAATTATATAAAAAAGTATTGAAAATGTTCAACATGGACAAAGAAAACCTTTTGAGTACTCAAATAATGGGTAGAACACTTAATGTTGAAAATGATCCATTTGTACTTAAGGAAGATAATGCAAAAGATATTGGCTCTGAAGTACTATACCTCAGTGCAATTGGAGCACTCTTGTCCTACAAAAATACATTGGAAATGAATAAAGCATATATTTCGATATCTCTGAGGTACATTTTACCTTAATTTATTTTATTCTAACAATACAAAATCAGTTTTGATTGGTTATGCAGATGCAGAATATTTGTCATATCACAATAATGCTAAATCACAGAGATCTAAAAAGCAAATACTTGTAGTAACTTTTTCAAATCATACTTAAGTAATTGTCCTTCATGAAGCAAACAAAAAGTGTAGATGATTACGGTCAGTAACTCGACATATCTAAGGAGCGTATGGTTTACCAATTAATAATGATTTAACGATTTTGTATGAAGACATACTATACGTGTTACCAAGATGAAAAAAGGCTACATTGAAAGTGATAAAATCAAGCATATCCCTCTAAAGTTCTTCTCATTCATACAAGAACTAAAAAAAAAAATAAAGAGGTTGATATTCAATATATTCGTTCGAGTGATAATGTGGCAGATCTCTTCACAAAGACACACCCTATATCAATTTTCAAGAAACACGTACAAAATATTAGAATGCGTCACCTTCGAGATCTTTGAAGAAGAACTAAATGTGTTCTGTTGAAGGGAGCATAATGTTGTGCTCTTTTTTTCTTATAAAAGTTTTTATCTCAATAAATTTTTTTCAATAAAATTTTTATCTCATAAAATGTCTTCGACAAGACTTCAATTGAATACTATAATAGATATTTCAAATGAGAAATACTTTAATAAATAATAAAATTATTTATTATTATTTAAAAATATTTAATTTGATATCAAACTTAAAATAATAATATAAATATTATAAATATATAATATTATCAAACTTAAAATAGTAATCCCAATTATTATATCAGCGTAAATAATTATATTTCTATGAGTATAAATACCCCATTTTATTCATATAAATACACTCCAATTTTTTTTAAAAAATATAAGTGGTATCATTCTACTTTTTTTATCTTTTCTCTTATATATATATATATATATATATATATATATATATATATATATATATATATATATATATATATATATATATATATATATATATATATATATATATATAGATCAGTAATTTATATATACAAATATTAACAAAAGAAATATTCAAAATTCTAATAAAAGTTCAATGGATGTGATTTTGTATAGAGACAAAAATGAAAAAAACATATTTAAAAGATAATAGTAGCTATTTATTAGTTATCTAGAAAAACAACAATTCATTAGACTGATTTCAGTGACTGGGAATTGAGAAAAATCTACAGATATCAAAGTCACTGTGTTACCTTACGTTCTGATGGAAAACAGCAACAAGAGCTTGGAATGGGGAAAAACGACATGGAAACTACTTTCACAAATCCGAACTCACTCACCGCTAATTCAATGCATAACTAACTTCGTTTCAATGGATCTAATGGCCAATACTCTCTTATCCGCCGGTGCGTCTCCAGCAATGGTTCATTCCGTCCAAGAGATTCCTGACTTCACCCCGCGCGTCAGTGCTCTGTGCATCAACGTCGGTACACTCTCTCCCGACTCTCTTCCCGCCATGATTACTGCCGCTAAGCTCTGCTCGAGGTTGGACATCCCTTGGGTTCTTGATCCCGTCGCTGTTTCCGCCTCGGCTTTCCGATTCGATGCTTGCGTTCAACTTGTTATACTCAAACCCACTGTTATCAGAGGAAATGCTTCTGAAATTATCGCTCTTTCTTCTTCCTATGAATCCTCCACCTCCAAGGTAATTCTAAATTCTAGCACTTTGTTGAAATATGGTCTGAAATACAAGCACGTTATTTAGGTTTTGGGCTTAACCCAACCCAAATAGTTGGTAAAATGGTAACTAGCGCCAACACCTCTGAAAAAGCCGTGTCCCACCTGCACTTGAAAGTTGTGATTATGTTTAATTTATTCATGTTTCTAATTATTACCGGTGTCGCGGTGTCAATGTCGTGGTCGTTTTCAAGGTGACTGTGCTTCATAGGTAATATTCAAGTATGAGTGATTAAGTCCCAAATCGACTAGAAAGAAAGAGAGGAAATGTTGGATACATAAGCAGTGCCATATTTGAGAGCGTGCAAGGCGGACTACTTCACAAAGGGCTGTCACATAGAGTTCAAAAGTAGAAAGGGCTATTGCACAGAGTTCAAAATTTGTTACATGGTTAAATAAGATAATAGACCCACACACTCAAACACTTCTGACGCCCCCCGGACTCCCCAACATAAGCTCTATATTATAATAGAAATGGGATGTTAGATGGGTATGTTAGGATTAGAAATGATAACATTAGAGGCGTTTGAGACCCTTGCATTAGAGAGATAGTTGAGGTTGCACTGGTTGTATAAAAGATGATTGAATTTTGACTTGGCTTGTTTACATGCTGGCCTGTGTTTTCTCAGGTCCCTAGTTGTTGAATTAGGTATCATTTTGCTTTGTTTATTTTCCAGACACAACTAGGCTACTTGTGATACAATTTGAAGTCCCTTCATTTACAGGAAAAAAGACACTAATAAAAATCATCTTGAATACATCACAACTAGCATAAATTCTACGAAATTTAGAGAATCTAAATCCATGTGAAGGAGATATGCAGATTTTGTAGCAGTGGGAGTAACTCACGCGCATTGTAGCGGAGAGCCTAGATAGTCACTAGTCGAAGGGACGATTCAATAAATATTATAGGCAAAATTATTTAGAAAAATTTAGAGGCCAATGGTTTACTATGGGGATGATGCTTGTTTGTTGTTGTTGTTGTTGTTGTTGTTGTTGTTGTTGTTGTTGTTGTTGTTGTTGTTGTTGTTGTTGTTGTTGTTGTTGTTGTATTTCTTGATATTTTCCCTAAGAATGGTATTTGGAAAGAATGGATTTTAGGTAGTCATCCAAAACTAAAATTAAAACCTCTCTTCATTCGCTCTCACCTTGATCATAGAAATTTTGGAATTGCACTTTGTAATTTAGCTCTATTGTCGTAAAGGGTGCAGACAGTACTCATGATTCAATGGATGCAGTTGAAGCAGCAAAGTTGTTGGCTCAGAAAAGTGGTTCCATAGTTGCAGTGTCAGGAGCTACTGACATTGTCACAGATGGTAAAAGAGTTGTTGGCGCTCACAATGGGGTGGCATTGATGCAAAAAATTACAGCAACTGGATGTTCTGTCACTGCACTCATTGCTGCCTTTGTTGCAGTTGACAAAAGCCATGCTTTAGATGCGGCAGTATCAGCACTAGCTGTATTTGGCGTTGCTGGTGAGTTAGGAATGAAGGTGGCTGAAGGTCCTGCGTCATTGCGAATGCACTTGATAGATGCGCTTTATGGGCTTGACGAAGCTACATTACAGTCTCATGTTAATATCACAAGCTTGTGTTGAAGTCTGAAGATCTGCATGCAGGACTTGCACATTTGGTAATTATTACATTTTAAAATTATCACTGTTCATACATATCTATCTTTCGTATCCATCAGTTAAAAATGGATCATTAGTGACAATGGAGCCACTAGCTAATAAAAACAGGATGTTCCGCTGCCTTAAAATTTCACATATCAGTTTGTTTTTCAAAGTTAACTCCTCATCATTTCTTTGATGCATACAATTTATTTATTGAAGTTTGTTCATGAAATGTCGAGGCACTGCTAATCATATGGATGCTCTGTAGAGTTGTGTATATATGAGATAAGAATAACATTTTCTTACGTTTCATGCTTCATATGCAGTCATCTTTTTCTTTGTTTGGTTTTTTGTTTTCTTAGGCACTTGTGATTTTGTTCTATCATGCTTTTTCCTGTATAATAGCTAATGTTTCACCATTTATGATAGCGTCTGACATGTTCGATTTTTCTCGTTTAACACATAACATATGGTCCGGAGAATTTTGCATTCAAAATTTTAAAATATCTTTTAAGACTGATTGATTAGATGGCATTAAGTAAAAGCAGTACAATACCATCAATAACAAAACATGATATCATGGGATTACAAATAAGATTTCACATACAATTATACAATCAAAGCTGAGAACATACAAGACCAATCTCATTGTCATCTGTAATTAAAAAGTAAAAACCACCCAGTCCTTTTCCATCTTTTACTGCACAGTTCTAGTAGGTCAAATGGACACTGATCCTCAGCAATGTCTCAGCACCATCAGTGGCAATCTGCCCTGGTGGGATAAGAGGTCTCAGCTCAGCAAACCCCCTTGCATTCTTGAACTTTCCTGTGCCCCCTATTACTGATAATCGTGACATGGTGCTTCCTATTTTATACAAACCATAAAAGTTCAAGCTATCTCCATATTCCCCTCCTTCAAACAAAGCTGTGAATACCATCATCTGTCTACTCCCATCTGCTGAACTTGCCACATACACACCTTGTGCTTTTCCAACTATCTGGGAACCTAATTCAGGTTGAGATGTAAGTATATCATCAATAACAGTGATTGTACCAAATCCTAGTCCAAGTCCATCAGGTCCTAACTGCATTTGAACATTGTTTTGGTTGTTGTTGTTTGGTGCAAAGGAAGTACCAGCCAAACCAGTTCCTAACGGGATACCGGTAACGCCATTGACGGTGGGAATAGCACCATTGGCATTAGGGATGAGAGTCCCACCTGCCGGAGTGTTGAATCCGATTGGAGTTGCAAACGGCACTTGACCACTGTATATGTTACCTAGCAAACCGGTTACGGGCCGGGCAGTTGGATTACTTCCACCAAGAATGTCATGCATGAATAACTCAATAATGGGTTCTTTCCCTGTGGCTGCAATAGGGTCAACTGCTGTTATAGAAATTGTCAAATGAGAAAAGGTTACCAACAATGTCAATGGAGCTATAGCTAACAATCCCATAGCCATCTTGCTTCCAAGTTTTTTAGATGTAGATGATTAATCTCTGTTTGGATGAGTGCAATGTTATCGGTTTTGGGGTTATATAAGAGGGGATGAAGAGTGTGTTGGAGTAGTTGAGGCATGGATCAGTTTTATCATCTTTATTTCTTTTTTCCTAAATGCTTTAGTTATGACAAGTAAAAACATGAGTGGTGGTGTAAGTACAACTAAACCAAAATCTCAAGTCAATTGGGTGATATCGTTGTTCCACATTATCATTGTCCTTTCTTTGTTAAACTATTTGAGGATTTTCAATTCAAGTCTCATTTGTCAAAGAAAATTGTAAAGTGTGTTTTTGATTCACTCAAATTATTTGGATGAAGGATATTGTTTATTATTATTTACATCTGAGAAATTAATATACTAGCTGACTTGTTTCAGAATTATGTAATGCAAACATATACTTCCTCCCAAAGTTAGATGTGAATTATGTAAAACTTGATTGAATGGTTTTGTTTTTAAGTTTACATTAGATTGAATTGTATAAGGTGCTATTTGTCAGAGGAAAAAGAGTCAAATGATGATCAATGCTACTATATCATTCAAAAGATGATGCAAATATTCAAACAATCTCACATTCAAGGCAAAATGTTTTATCTTTTGTATTTCAAGCATATGTTTCCCTTCCTTCCATTGGATTATCTGAACAGAAGAATAAAAACACTTAAAAGATTAATGTTCTATATTAGTTTGTTAATTTATTTAATATGAACAAAATTATTTACATAGACTTTAATATAAATATTTTATTTTATAGGTATACGAACTGATAATAATTATTATAATAATAAGAGGTACATACATTTAAAGTCTAGAGTTCAATTCCTCAATGATGATTTTTAACCTATCAATATCATTTTTTGTCATTTGAATTCCGGACATAAAATGAATTAGCATGTGTTGGAAACATGATGGGTACCACTTTCAAATGTATGTTGTCAAAATGCTCTAATTTAGTGCACTTTTTTGGACATTACTTCTCTTTTTAGGGGGCGTTCACACACCATTATGAAAAAGTAAAACTACTCTTGGAATTCAGAAAAGCAATTGAACCACACTCTCATTTTTGATGAAAAATAATACATAAATGCATCTTCATAAAAAATACGGAAGTATATATTCAGACGAGTTTTTAATCAAATGCGCGCCAACGGGGATGGCAAAACGGGCCCAACCTATTGGGCATGTCTGTTTTTCCCTCATTTTAGCGTGGGGTGGACTAAAGGTTTAGGCCTGCACCCTCTAATGTTTCTGTCTTGCTAGTTCCTTTTCTTTTTATTTTTGTCGGCTTTTGCGGACACTAACATTAACATAAAATTTGTATTTTTAGGCTTAAAATGTGTAGTGACCGTAGGTCTGCTCTGCCCTCTCTCACTAAAGGTAAGTCAAAATTTTAGCCCACACCTCCAACTATGACCGTCCCGCTTCGCTCTTTAATTTGCGGACTTTTATGGGGAGGACCTAAATGGGGCAGACATGCCCGTTTGTCACCCCTACACCGTACCTTCCCCATTTCCAACAAAACCACCAAAAACTCTTCTCACTTCCATTCCTCACTTTCAATTTTTTTGTCAATCCAAATTTCATTTCTACTTCATTCAATCCAAGTGGTTTGTCAATTTCTACTTTTAACATCAACTTAATCAAAGTGCTTAACATAAATTACACATTTGGTAAGTTTGTCCACATTTAGTTTTCTATACATGCATTAAACAATTAGAACATTAGGTTGTGTAATCCTCAATACTATATATAGGTAGTTATAATCATTATTAGGTAGTATAACCGAGCAATGCATTTCGTCCCTTTTTGGCTTCCATGCGTTTCTTCCATTTTTCGTGTTTTCTGAGTTGCAGTTCACTATAGAAGTGCACTTTCCTATTTGTTCAAAATTTGATATTCAAGGAATGCACAAGTGCATTTTTGTATTATGTCTGTCTGTATTGTTTAGTTTGATTTTGAATGTCTCTCATATGAGTTTGATATTTTCTACTTTGTCTAGTTTAATCATAGGTAAAATAGCTAACAACCAAGAACAACTGAGGCACGGTAGAATGTCCCAGCATGCATCTGTTTGCAAGGAAAGAGCTTGACCTTCCCAACCACCAGTCGATGCCAATTCATTTGATGCAAATGCGTCAACTTCTGGGGGTTCAGGTGTCTCCAACTTTGTCTTCCCAGAGGCATGTGTCACCTACTACTGCCCCAGAAGCTCTACCAATCTAGGTTGATGCACCTGCTAGCAATGTTATCGTTCCCTGATACTTTAGAGGAGGCATGTTTGACACATCACTGGTACATCTATATGCAGAACTTGCTGCTAGGTGCATATGAGACGAAAAGGTAAATTTTATTTCTATTTATTTTTTAAAACACATGTGTTATAATATTCTAACTTTCTGACAATGATGCTTTTTGGTACCGTGATGCTTTAAAAGGCATCAATCATGGTCGAAAGATTGCGAGGCAGCAACAAACTGAGGAGCAATGGTTTCATGATGCCATGCAACTATCTGGGTTGTGAGATTTATGCATGACCGATTATACTACTATTAACCATGACATACTGTCAGCGTTTGTTGAGAGATGACACTCTAAGAAGTCATCTTCTCATCTACCGCATCGTGAGATATTCATTACACTGAATGGTGTTTCACCTCTGCTACATCTTCCGATCAAGAGAATATCATTAGATTACTCCAGGATAGCCAGACCTAAAGTATTGGAGATGATGATGACATATTTGGAAGCTGACCTAGGAGATGCCCTAAAGGATCTGGAAGACATCATAGGTGCTCATGCTAGATTTGCATTCTCTTATACCATTGTCACTAGGGTCGTCCATCGTTTATAGTCATTAAGCATTTATTTCCTATTTTATTTAAAACATTAGATGTTGAGAGTCTTCATTGTGAGGTGTGTGAGTTTGCTAAACACAAGCATGTACCTTTTTTCGTTAGTAATAAGCTGAGTACTTTTCTGTTTTATTTAGTTCATACAAATATGTGTGGTCCATCTAATATTCCAAATATTTTGGATGACCGTTGCTTTGTAACCTTTATTGATGATTGTACTCAAGTTACTTGGGTCTACTTACTTAAGCAAAAATCTGAAGTTAGTCGTGTGTTTTCTCAATTTCTCTCCATGGTTAAAAATCAATTTACTTTAATGATAATCTTAATTCTTTGTGTGAAAATGAAGGTATCATTTATGGATCTTTGTGTGTTAAAACACTCCAACAAAATGACATTGTTGAAAAGAAAAGGGCATATGTTACACCACACATGTGCTATGACATTTCAAATTAAAGTTTCTAAGAAATATTAGGGGCAAGGTAGTCGTAACTGCATCATATCTCATAGATAGTTTGCCTTCCATTATCATTGCCTCCAAAACTCCTATGGAAGTCTTATCTCCGTTCTATCCTAATGTGTCCACCTCTAGTATCCTGACACCTATAATGTTTATGTGTACATCATTTATCCATATTCATAGTGATGGTAGAAGGAAACTTGATCTTAGAGCCTTAATATGTGTCTTCATAGTTTATTCTTCCATCCAAAAGGGTTACAAATGTTATCATCCACCATCTTGTAAATTCTTTGTCGCTATAGATGTCACTTTCCATGGAAAATAAGGTTATTACGTTGAATCTCATCTTCAGGGGGAGAACATAAATAAGGAAGATGAGTCTCTCCTACTTTCCGACCTTACTCCTGGATCATAAGTTGAGGTTGAAACTAGTAGTGACAGTGTTGGAACTGAACTTGATTCTCAAAAGGAAGAAAATGTTGAAAATGATGTAAGACATAGGAAGAATTTAGTATATATAAGAAGAAATACCATTCATGAATTTACTCATATGCGAGAGTCTGATCCGACATTAAATGAGGTAAATTTCGTTAGCCCTCCAAACTCTAGTGATTCAATTTCTGAATTTTCTCATGAAGAAAATCCAGAATCCAACTCAACACCACCACCACCACTACCAACACCCTAAAGATTTTCATCTTCTAATTTCTCTTAGGAAAGATATCAAAAACTATACTAAAACGCCAATTTACCCTCTATTAAACTACCTAACTTTTGAACATGTTTCACCTACTCATAAAGCCTTTCTCAAAATTCTGAACACTATAACAATACCTACCTCTCTGTCTGAGGCATTGTCTGACAGGAAACGGAAAAAAACCATGGATTTAGAAATGGAGACACTGAATAAGAACAATACTTGAGAATTGGGTTCTCTACCAAATGGAAAGGAACATGTAGGGAGCAAACATGCACACACTGATAAATACAAGGCAAATGAGTCTATTGAGAGGTACAAGGAAAAATTGGTAGCCAAATAATTCGCTCAAACTTACAGAGTAGATTATTCAGACACATTTTTCATAGTTGCAAAAAAGTACATTCTTAGGGTGATATTGTAACGCCCCCATTCTATACCCCAAAATAATCACATATCAAATCATATAGTCACGAATATAAGTATTTTTATTTTCATCAGAGTATATTTACATATAGGTATAAAATAAGTGCGTCACAATACCCACGAAACGACCACATGTATATTAAGGTTTAAAAAGAATTAACTCAAAAGGGGTAAACCTCAACTAAAAATAAACGCATGATTCTTCGAAATTACATATTCATGTTTTCTCTTAAAGCGGAAGACTAAAACATATATATATTCACTTAAGACATGACAAAACGTAATTACATGTCATCTGGTTGTTCACAACTTCATTCACATACAAACAAAACATCATTAAGACATTCTACAAGCCTATCTACCCAAAGTTACATATCAGAGCGACCGACACGAGGGGAAAGGAACTATACTCCAAAGGAAACCTCCAGCGAATCCTAATCTGCAATACCTCGTAGGGCATTATAAAACAACATAAGGGTGAGGAACATTATCATAATAATCAAGGCATAAGATATATATATATATATATATA